TAGGATTAGGGGGACCCTTGGGGGTTTTAGGGGGTTTTAGGATTTTAGGGTTTAGGGATTTAGGGTTTAGGGGGACCCTTGGGGATATAGACCCTCTCAATGAGGTCCCTTTTGAGAGAGCCACAAGAAGGGTCAAGAAGGGTCCCCTTTAAGGGATCTCCCTAATCCTACCTGGGAGGCTTAGCGCCTGGATCCCGAAGCTCAGACTACGCCTCTTTTAGCGCAGACGAAAGCAGCGACACAAGAGAGATAGATCGGTGCGGATGGAGGACCTTAAACCCTAAACCCTAAACCACCCTAAACCCTAAACCCTAAACTCTTAAACCCTAAACCCTAAACCCCTGAAGGCAAAAGGGAGTCTGGGTAGATGGCTTAGGGCCATAGGAGCCTGCGACATGGAGATGCCGCACCCTGAGCTGCAGAGACCAGCGGGTGGCCTGCAGGCACCGCAACATGGAAAAAGACAAGTAAACACGCTTTAGGGCTTGGGGCTGTGTGCATGACGGACATGCTTGGGCAGTCTATTCTGCTGATCTTCGCCCGGTCGCCGCATCCTTCATGAGCATGTCGTCACGAAAAAGCTCAGAAGCTAGCCTCTGCTACGGTAGGTCGACCAGAGCCTACATTAGGTCGGAATGGTGTGCCGAACATACTCAGGGAGACCTCCAAGACACGGTTTGCAATACCAAACTTATCATAAGCCTGTGCATTTTTGCCATACAGAGGTCATGCCCGGAGCCTGCATGCAGTCGTATGGTCTGCTCGATGTGTAGATTCCAACCTCGGCTGCAAATGGGCTGCTCTAGGATTGAGGATGTGTAAACCCATAATATGCAACCTATAATTATAATGTGCAAAATTCAAGCCCTGTCTCTAAAGCGGGGACACTAATGCACCTTGAAATGGAAACATGCATCGAGGCCGCGACTGGGATGAAGCATTCTTGGCGGCGCTGACGGGATTTTACACAGGGTCTTTCTACACAGCAAGTGGCCTTTTTGGAGTCTACTGTAGAGTGTAAGACCGATCAGACGAGCAAGCTCGAAGTAGCCCTCTCAAAAGGTGCTCTGATAATTCCAACAGACGGCCTGAATTCTCAAACCCTGGACCTGCACGGACTGAGCTCTCAAACCTACTAGACCGTACACCCTACCGGGACCCCACGCCCTTCATTCTGCGCGTAGCACCCACTCGTGAGCACTTTTTTTAAACATCTTACGGTTACGTTGTAGGATTTTTGGCAAGCGCCCTGCGAACGCTGATCCCCTTCCTAAACCCTAGGCTTCACCCGGAAGTGCCGAACATAGGGGCCCTGCTGCGGGCACCTGCACGGGTGTCGGCCACGCCATGACCTGCGTCGGAAACTGTTCGGGGGAGCTTCCGGGTTTCATACTGTTGATGATATAAATCCTGCACTACCTTAAGGGCCCTAATCTATGGGATTTATGGCATAGTCCTTATTATGGCATAGTCCTGCAGGATTTTTATCATCAACCGCAGGGTTATGGCTTCAGCGTTGAAGCGTTTAGGGCTCAGAGGCGGAGAGTTCGGAATTCAACCTTGAATCCTAGGATTCGTGGTGGTTCGTAGTCTTTGCCTAAACATCTGGCCCCAACTACCCTTCAGTGTAGCCCCTTAGCTGCATCTTCATGAGGAGTAGGAACGCCCTTTCGAGGTTAAACCTAACCCCTAAACCCTAAACCCCAAACCCCCAAACCCCTAAACCCTAAACCCTAAACCCCTAAACCCTGAACCCCAAACCCCTAAACCCTAAACTCTGTTCTTCGGAGGGGTCCCGGGAAGACCTGCGATCCGACCCTCAGAAGCAAAGCCTCACGGTCCCGAGGCGCCTCTGAAAC